CCCACTCCTTCCACCCACCTATCAACCCTCTCACCACCCCCTCCCCTGTGTCGTCCATCGCCTTGTCTGTCACGTCTGGCCCCGCCCACCTAACCAAGAGAAGACGAGCACCGGAAAACTTGGCGGGAACCTCTGACCTGTCCCCGTCGTTTTACGCAAGAAAATTTCTGAAATTATGCAAACTGAGCCCAAAAATGTGGAATTATGCGATTGTTGTTGTGGGTTTTTTTAAAGAATGATGAAGGAAAATAATCAGAAATTAATTTTTTTAAATGATCAAATTTTGCTAAATTATGCGGGGTGCATAAAACCACGGGGACAACCTAGCCTACGACCGTGCCTGACTTAAGATGATCGGGAGTCTGTGGTGTGCTGGTTAGCCGCTCCGCTGTCGCACACAGAAGACGCGAATTCGAATTCGATTCCCGACTGGGAAGACCTTTTTATCAAGTTCAAGTATCTCGTTCTTTCTGCAGGGATGCTGTACATTGTATCCCTCTCAGTAGTCTCAGCCCGACAGACAGGGTCGGAACTAAATAAATGATCTAATTTGTGTTGATTTTAAGGTGTGTGTGTGTGTGTGTGTGTGTGTGTGTGTGTGTGTGTGTGTGTGTGTGTGTGTGTGTTTAAAAAAAATTAATGTGTACTGAGAAGTCAGTGACATTTTCTGTAATAAAAAAGGACCCGGACCACCACCTCGTAGACTTCAGGGTAACGGCTCCAATCTAGAAAGGAGGACTGCAATCATTGCAACAGAGCTCAGCTGCTATGACCTTGATATCGTTGCTCTCAGTCAAGCTAGATTGACCGATGAAGGTCAGGTGAAAGAACTGAGAGGCCGTAGTACATGTACTTTCTTTTGGCAGGGAAAAAATCTTGCACTTGCAGAGTTTAGATCAAATAATGGCGTTGGCTTTGCGGAAAGAAAATCCCATAGTTGCCCAACTGGAATCCCTTCTAAAAAAATATAAATGGGACACTCGTGGTTCTGAAGCTTCCCCGTGGTGAGACCAACCATGCAACATTTGTGAGTGCACATGCCCCTACGATGACCAACCCAGATGATGTCAAAGAGACACTCTATTGTGACCTCGAAGCCTTCCTATGCTGTGTCACTCGCGCCTCGTGCCGTGCAAAATGTGGAACAGACCATAGACAAATAGTGAGCAAAGTCAGCCGGTTATTATATATATTACATCGAAAACTTTACACAAAAAACTATCACAAGATCCTGCCCCGAATTCTTCTCAATCACCTGTTGAAGCATCTCTCTTCACATGACGCTTTACCTGAAAGTTGGTGTGGCTTCCGCACTTAACAGGGGCACAGTAGACGTGATCTTTGCAGTCAAACAGATCCAGGACAAGTGCATAGAGCAGAATAAAGCCTTATACATGACCTTTGTTGATCTAACAAAGGCTTCGATACTGTGAGTTGGGAAGGCTTTTGGAACACCCCGGCCAAGTATAGTTGCCCGCCAAAGTTCCTCACTATGGTTCACCAATAATAATTTCATGACAGCCTGAGAGAGAGAGAGAGAGAGAGAGAGAGAGAGAGAGAGAGAGAGAGAGAGAGAGAGAGAGAGAGAGAGAGAGAGAGAGGGCGAGAACGTTGAAGTATGTGGGAGGAGGAGGCTTAGAAAAGACAAGCTTTGATACAGTGCTCAATCTAACAGCCGCTTGCATGGGGAAACTGCATTTTCCTGTGTCCGGATGAGGAAGGCCTTTAGGGACGGGAAGAGCTCAGCGGCCAAATGCACTGATGGATGGGTGTCCACCAGATATCTCTCTCTCTCTATTTCTCTCTCTCTTTCTCTCTCTCTTTCTCTTTTTCTCTCTCTCTTTCTCTCTCTCTATCATCTCTCTCTCTATAATCTCTCTCTCTCTCTA